ATATATATATATATATATATATAATATTATGGGATAATGCTACACGTACCGCAGCTTGTACCGCATAGTTTACACTTTGGTTGAAAAACGTATCATCAGAATACGTTTTTCAAATAATTTGTTTGAAAAACGTATTTTCAGAATACGTTTTCAATGAAGGGTACACCATGCGGTACAACCCCTGCGGTACAAATAGCATTTTCCAATATTATGTAATCCTTCTCCTAAAGGATTAAGATTCCATAATACATATTATAACAAATATATACCATATATTATTAATAATAAATATTAGGAACTTAAATAATTCACAAGTAAATAAATAGAAAACTTTCATTTAATTTATTTTGCTTTCTTAAAAAATTTTCTAGAAAACACTTAGGTTGTCGGACGATGCCAAACCTATATTCTTACAAGATAAAAACTTATTTTTTAAATTTTTAATTTAAAATTTTAAATTGTGTCTCTCGTATTTGTGAGACTAGTTCAAAATTTTCCTTGTTTGATCAACACACACTCGTATGAATATTCATATGAATATATACATTTATTGATATCCACCAATGAAAAAAAAAAATTAATGTCTGCACTGAAATAATCTGCTGGATCGAATCTTCCACGTCTGATACGAATTATGTGACAAAATAAAATAATCATAACATTATAATATATGGATCGAATCATAACATTTTAAAAAATTTGGCATGTGAAAAGATTGGACGTTAGTTAGTGGTTGATCCATTAGAAGAGACCCGTGAACCCAATTTTTTTGCCTTTTGTCACCTTCTTTCACATCCCTTCACACATTCTTTAAGCTTTTGGACTACCAACTTTCGGCTTTCCTGTTGTAGCCTAGCATGTGATACGCACCATGAGCACGCTCGTACTATTCCGTTTAACTTTATTAGAATGTTCACTTGTGAGTCGTTTCACATTGTTTATATCGGGAAAATAAGTCTAATTTATAAGTCTAATGGGCTGCTTCTCCTTCCACCAATTGGTTTTGGGATGATCTGAGCTTTCCCTGTCTTGGTGCGCTTCATATATGTGTGGGACCGCACTCGTTTTTTCTCCGTTTCTTACGAATTTTATACTATTGAAAATTTCACTACTCATATTAGGGTTTTTACAATCAAATCAACACACTTTTATGGATATATGTTCTTACCATTAGATTAATGCACCTCTATGAATATATGTATGTATTTGTTGATTTAATAGTTAAAAAAAAAAAAAAAAAACCTCATGATTGTACTGCAATCATCAGTAGATTCGAACTCTCCGCGTATTTTATAATTTGTGAATTCAGGATTTTAATTTCGCGTTCATGCATCTCTTAAAGACTAAAATTACATAAGTCTTTGTGCTTTTGGGTATTATCAGGTTGGAGGGATTCTAGTAGTAGCTATTTAGTCCACAGTATATGGCCAGAAAAATAGTTAGTATGATCGGATATAGCTGCTGTAGGTTTAGGAGAAGACCTTTTTAATTACTCGTAATTCCAAACTATATACTGCTGAAGTTGATCGATTTGCTAATAAAAAAGCTCTGAGAGGTGGTAGGACGCTCCCCGAAGACAGTCTTTTCTGTTTAAATTTTGCTTTCTTACATTGAATTGCACACTCTACTCTCTCGACCCATTTATTGAAATTTGTAGGCATGCATTTGCTCGTGTATTTGTTTTTTCTTTATTTTGACTCTATTGACATATGAGCAGTAAAAACAAAAGAAAAAAACCAAAAGCAGTTGCATAAATAGCTGGAATTCCACTTTCCTTATTGGAGTAGTAGTTTTTATGAAGCTAAAATTAAATAATCAAAATCATATTTATTGATGTTGAATTGGTTAAGGACACGTAGATACTAATTTTTTTTTTTTT